ATTATACATAAATTTAAACGCTTGAAAAACTGTATTGAGCCTTTGTACATCACACATATTTCGACATTCCATATTTTGACATATATTTCACATAAAGCAATATGATAACACACGCACGGACGCACGCACGAACACACAAAATACATAACTACACATGCACATAAAAGTGAACACGTTCCTACAGTATTAACACTTTTGCACATGTGATCACTTATGAAATATTTTCAATGTGCTCTTTATCATTTTATGCTGAAGTTATATTATGATTTTTCAGGACAGTTTAATCTTCTAGAAATGCAGCTGTGCCCTCTTTACAGCAATTGTAGATGAAGCAAAGTATGGTAGCAAGTTATATAGATGTAAGTTCACGTATATACATTGTTGTATTTTGTGAATAAAATAAGACATTTACACGTACGTACTGTCTGTAAAGAAGAGTTACTCAGACTCATATATTCCACTCTGTACTGACATCATGACTGTGTTTTATTCTTTCTCAAGGCAAAGTCAAATTTCCTTAATTACACGCATTTATTTTGAGAAGAATAAATGTCCTTAGTTATAAATACATTGATTCTCTTTTATATCTTGTTAGAGTCAATTCTAAGGCGGAATGATGTCACACTTCATAAAATGATGTCAATTAAGGCATATAAGATATAAGCATTTTGCCGCGCATTTGAAAATGCTAAATCATACTTGCTTTTAATATGCAAAAATCAAATATATAAAATATAAGCATTAACTCGAACACACACAATGGTTTGATATAGATGCACTGTGCATGCGACTTTATTTTATTAAATTAGTTTTCTTTTCTTAAACATATTACTGTATCAAAAATATGTATTTCTTTACAGTTTAATCACTTTTATATATGTTAATGATAGTAATTGTTTTAGTTGTTACGTGCGTAAAGCGATAAGTACTCCGCTTCGATAATGCAGTGTTGCATCTAGAATTTCAAAATTATGGGGGATTGTCCCCCACTCAACTGAAAAATGTGGGGGACTTGATAAAAATGTGGGGGACATACATTTACCTTACACTATGACTTATCGAAAATAATTCATTTATTTTACGTTCAGGCATTTTTGACAGCTATCGTCGGCTAAAAAACGGAAGTAGAAAAAATAAAATATTGACGAATACTACAAAATACACGCGAGATGACCCAGTCGGCTGCTACACGCTTTTTAGTACGTATTTTAGTCATAACCACAAGTGAAAACAAACATGGCTGAAGCTTTCAAGACACGATGAAGATAAACTGAATAAAGTTAAAAAATTGTCAGATGCGCGACTTGGCGCGCGTTGACTTCATTAAAATGCGCGATCTGCATAAAATATGCGCAAATCGCGCAATCGCGCGTCCTAGATGCAACACTGATAATGTGAGAGTGACGTTACATTTTCTTTTGTACATTTACACTAAAGTTAACAACATTTGAGCCGTGTCACGACAAAACCAACATAATGAGTTTGCGACCAGCATGGATCCAGACCAGCCTGCGCATCTGTGCAGTCTGATCAGGATCCATGCTGTTCGCTATCAGTTTCTTTACTTGTTATAGGGTTTGTAAGCGAACAGCATTGATCCTGATCAGACTGCACGGATGCGCAGGCTGGTCTGGATCCATGCTGGTCGCAAACCCATTATGTTGGTTTTGTCGTGACACGGCTCATTTGTCTTAATAGGTAAAACAGGGTTTTCAAAGCGAATATAATGTCAGATAAGAAACAGAATTTGAAATGTCTTGATGGAAAACTTAGAATGTCATACACATTAAATTTTATCACAAGTTCGAGCCTCACAAGTTGTCTTACTTTTTTGCGTTTTTTTTTCCATTTTTTTTTTTTAATTTTACATTAGAAAAATGAATTAGGATAGAAAGGCAGTTTTGTTATGATATTTAATAATTTAGATATGCATGCACGGATGATAGTGATTTTTATCCTGTATAGTGTGTAGTATGTAGTAGTCATAGTACTTTTGCAGTGCCATAGTATTTCGTGCAAACTTAACTATAGTTGAAACAGTCTGTGTACAGTATCATGCATTCCGTATAAGTTTGCACCAACTTGTTAAATAGGGCTAAATATAGCTACATTTAAAACAAAATGAGAAGTTAATAGAAAATATCACAGCATTTATAATCTTTACAATGAATGATACAAAACTTTCATTACCTGATTGATAATTATAAAGCAATATTTTTGGGAAAAAGGTGCAATTCGAGCCTAGCTGTCTTGCATTGATATTTACCACAACCTTACCTACTGCATTACTCTGAGAGTTGGTTAATTTGTTGATAATTAAATTTATATAGCTAGCCTGTTTGAAGATAATAAACACAATATGATAGCTGTTTTACACCTGGATAGTGGACTTGACCACCTCGTCACTTAACTATCATACTAAACGCACAGTACTTGTGCGCACGTGAAACATATTGTGTTGATACGTAAATGTTTCACGTGCGCACGTAATAGTCGCATTCGCATGTATTAACTAAAATATTTCCTATGTTATTTTATGCAATTGTCACATATGATACGTATATTTTATTATCTGAATTTGATTTCATACTATCAGATTAATGCTATAGGCAAGGGAGGATATTTTGATTTATATTTCGTGAGAATTATAACTTTATTTTTAGAGATGGCACACTGTAAGAGATTCTATTGTCAATTTACCTAGTTAAACAGTCTTAACAATAAAAAAATATTAATCTACACTATTGTTTATTGAAGGTATTCATTCGCCGCTGAGATAGTTTTTGAAACAATTGAAATTGAAACAAACAATAATCCAAATTTGTTAAGATTAACGTTTTTTATATAAATGAGAAGTATAGCTGAGTATTCCGCCTTTTACTTAACTGGATATCATTGTGCAAACACGGATCTACATCTGAGTAACAGATATCTGTACTTTTTAAGCCTTTTTTTCAAACGAATTGATTCATACTATCGATGCTAATATACATCGTAAAACGATCAAAAAGATTATGTCAGCACTATTTCCCAATACAATTGTATTTTGTATTTATATATTTTTAATCAATAAAACACTCTTTACATAGAACAAAGACATCATTAGCATATAAATTACAGGTGTGAAATAAATATATTCGTAAAGGTTTTTTAACAAAAACATATAACTTATCACCCGTCATAGATTAAACATTTCATTTAAACCCTGTGTAAATGGTTGCTTATAAATGACATCTTTATCCTAATAATAAAAAATAATTTTGAAATTTGCGTTAGAAAAAATGTATATATGTATACGCTTAAAAAATGCTTGTGTATAGTCTTTTTGAAAGTTGTGATAACTATTTCACGACACTATTTAAACAGGATTTTGAACTCTCTTTTTCAGATACACACATGCCGAAGAAGATTGTAATATCTGGAGATATCATTTCCTACGTCATGAAATAGACATCGTCACACTGGTCTACGTAACATTCCTATAGATGATTGTTATATTTAAGTGCTTTTAAGAACTGTGTTTGAATGACGAATTTCTGTGAATACGTATTTTTAGTTTTAATGATTATTATTAAAACTTTCTGTAATAATCAATTTGTGCTATGGACTCATTTTCCTAGAATAATATGTGAATGTTAACACGAACAAATGATATGAATATCTTTAAAATATTTTATGGGTGTAATACAAGTGGCTCAAAAAAATCATTGTTAAGATAAATAGAATCGAACTTCAAGTTGGTATAGTTTGTTCTACATTTAAACAACATGCAATTCATAAAGGTTACGGCTTGAAAATATCGAAACATGTACATGTATAACTCGATCTCTAAAGAATATATCGCAGTGCGATTTTCCCACTGTGATACGTATTTCATGACTCTATCGCATCATACCGGTATATCGCCGTTCCGTTGCAACGCTACATTAATTTGTCACTCTGGAATAAGGCTTGCAATAATATATGACTGTTGCAGCGAAGACATGTTTATTTTGTTTAATATATGTATACATATTGAATATATAGTTATGAAGTAATAAATATTTAAGAGTGACTCGATTTGGTTTTAACTTTATTATTTGAAATACTCCAATTGTGAAGAGAACGTTCTTAAGCATATGACTTTACAGTTCCCATTCAAAATGTGTAATAAAACATGTTCTATTGTAAGTCTGCATTTTGGTCATGTAGACGTGTCACTTATATGTAAATGCATGCTTTTGATATTATCTGTATCTTCTTTTATCAAGAAAATACAGTTCTGTATTCCCTGTGGACAACTAAAAAAATGAAATTCCGTATATCCCCTGTATATATTGAAAATACGATTCCGTATATCCCTGTATATGTAGCAAATACCATTCTGTATATCTTCTGTATAATTATGTAGAAAATACGGTTCCGTATATCCTCTGTATACGTAGAAAATACGAGTCCGTATATCCTCTGTATATGTAGAAAATACGGTCCCGTATATCCTTGGTATATTTATAGTATACTAGGGATAGCAACCTAAATATAGTCCGTATACGGGATTTTATTATCCGTATACTTCAAAAGTACAAACAAATATACGTACATGTATATGGGGCAAATACGGAATTCCGTATATGCCTGATGCATATACGGACTTCCCGTATACCCGGTGTTCCCTATACGGACTCGTATACTTGGTCCGTATATTCGACGAATACATCCCGTACACGCCCGTATATGTCAAAAATACGGGACCGTATATTCCCGTATATCAGTATATTTTCGCAGTGAGCTTTCCTGAAAGACTAACCAGTAGTTACCTATTTCTCTGTACATATATTAAGAACATAATTATGCTCTTGATAAAAACTGAGAACTGCCTGAATAAAGCAATGGGTGATCTCATTGTTTGTCCCATATTTTTTTAACTACAGGTGTATAAGAAGACGAAATAAGCTTTTAAAGAAATAACATTGGAATATTTAAAAGAATGAAAGATTATGCGTAGATACAGCTATACATACATGCACCATCTTCTGTAAATGAGCCCCTTGATGATATACAAGATGGGGTATATGGTAACGCTGATACTTTACTTCTAGGTGTTCCCTGACCTGATACAGGGGCCGAGCAGTGACGAGCCCTGCCCTGAGGTCCAATGAGAGAGTGTTGTTGAGCTTTCATTGGCGAAGGACCCTGAGATTCGATCTCAGAGTCCTGTTTTGTGGGAACACATGGTTCTTGTGATCTGAAACCAGCAAAACTAGAGCACCTTTTTAACACAGCTTCATTTTCCAAATCTGTTCTGTCAAATTCATCATCTAACATGTTTTCCATGGCACAGGTTCTTTCTGGAGATGTTCTGAATGGTTCACAACGACCATCGGTTTTTGTCAGCTGTATAGAAATATCAGATATAACAGGTGATTGGACAGCAGAGGTCACATGACTTCCTGTTCCAGACACAGAAAATGAAATACTTCCTGTAGTAGGTGAATCAAACACTGATGATGAAGTTGGAGAAACAACTGATTTTCCTTCCTTTTGTAAAACATTACTAGGGTTCTGTGAGCTCTCATCGTCAATTTTAGAGCCATCACTCTTTTGTTGAGCTTCAATGTCCTGTTTAAGGTTAGTCAAACTATCTGCAGTGGAAGAATCTGCTTTCTCCTCCACTTTTCCGGCCTGTTCACAACTAACTTGTGTTTTCTCCCTATCTGACATATTATCCTTGCTACTTTGTATCATTTTCAACACTAACTCCTTACTTTTGCGTCTATTAATTAAACTAACATTTTCCAAGTTGAGACCTTCTGTTGATGTTCTCTTCTCTAGACTTAGATTAGACTCCAGACTGTGTCTTTTTACTTCTGATGGAATGTATCCATCAGATTTTACTGTCAAAGGACTAGAACAGCCTACATGTTCTCCACCAATATCAAAACTTTTCTCTTTAGCATTAACACTGAGAGGGGACAGATTTTTAGCTGATTTTGTGTCAGTAAGTTCCGACACAGAGCTTGGCGAGCAAACTTTAGTAGAGGAGCCTTGTTTTCCACTCCACTGACTTAATTCTACAAGAGCAGAGCTAAGTACTGATGCATTAACATAGGTGAAGGCATTAATACGCTTCTTGGATAAGTAATACCACTCATCCTCTTTGTTCAACTGGTAATTCTTGAATGACATCTTTTGGAATTCCTAGTCAGTATAAAATATCAATAAATAAATAAATCTTCATTAAAACCATGGAAAACACAAAGTAAAAATGATTATTTAAAAGGTACCTTTTTACAAATTTAAGTTTATCGTTTACAGGACATAATCCTTTGACAGAATTCTATAATTTTGTTCTCTCTATCAACAGACTATCTTGTATCTATTAAATCTATATATTTAATCTATAAGATCCTTGTTTCGTTTATTAGATCATTTATTTTAATTCAACCAATGCAAAAACCTGAATAAATACTGTGAATTGTTTGAATAAAACCCTTTTCAATATATTACTTTCACTGATCAATTAATATCAAAAACTAGTATGTATCTTCTGCCTGGTAAAGAAAAAAAACAGTACCAACTAAGTATTGGCCAAACTTGTTGCAGCACAACCTGACATAGGTCAACTTGGCAATGAACAACATGGAAAAGCACTCTTGGCAAAGCACAAGTGGGAAAGGTCACCTTGGCATAGATCAACTTGGCAAAATTCTTGGCAAAGCATAACATGGCAAAGCACAACTTGACATAGGTCAACTTGGCATTGGTCAACATGGTCTATACACAATTGAGTTTTTGCATAAATTGCATAAAATGCATGATTTAAACAAAACAAATGATGAATTATCAATACTAAAACAAGAAGTATATAATTTGCTGAGCTGAACCATGCCAAGTTTCTACTGGGCCAAGCTGAATCACTCATGTACTGACAAAGCTGACAATGATTCTTCGACCATATAGGTAAATGATAGAACAACAAACAGCTCAATATTTTGTGTATATACCTCTGTAAATTTTTCATTGCTTTGTTCTGATCCAAACACAAACTGTAGAGGTACAGTTTCTACACTGACGTTAGCCTTGCCTAATCCACTAGTACACTGTATATGCTTGGCAACAAAGTTAAGGGCATCAGTAGTGATAGGCGATATGTGCCTCAAGTTTGATACAATCTCATCATGTAACAGCCACTCAATCTATAAATAGAAATCAAACTTTACATTGTTGACTTAAACTATAAACAGAAATAAAAATTTTGTACTGACAATCAATCTATCAATAGAAATTAAATTTCAGAAAAGTCAATCAAACTATGAACATAAAAAACAAGATTGTGGATTGTGCTTTAGGATTGTGCCAAAAATTTTAACAAGAAATAAAATATGTAGTTAACAATCAATCCAACAATAGAAAATAAACTTCTTCACTGAATAGATATAAAACTTCGGGTCTGCATAGATAAACTTAAGGACTAAATAGAAATAAAACTTTGGGACTGACAATTAACCTTTGAAAAGAAATGAAATTTTACTTTAACATAAATCTACTATGATGTACAAATAAATCATAACTGGATAACATGACAGAAGTATTTATACCTCCTCCATACATTTGGTGACAGCATCATGTTGTCTCTGTGGTAGGTGATTTATTGGGTCCTTCAAATGATTCATATCACTGCAATTTGAGACAATAACAATTATATAAATTCATTCTCTACACTTGAAAATATATAACTAAAAACCAGAAAAGTTTTAGTTAAACAAATTAGACATATGAAAAACATACATCTACATTTCTATATAATAAACAAAAGTATCAGACCAAAAGCTATTTCAACAATATCTGAGGTTCTTCCAAAGAAAAGTTAAAAATCATCTGTCAGTCTGTCTATACATGTACTGTAAAACTTGTCAATGAAGATTATTCACTGGAATTGGAAAAACAAGCCTATAATTACACAATCTAATGGAAAAAAATCTATATTTAAGTTAAAAAAAAAAACATATCAAAGTTCAAAGCTGTTAAGACAACTGTATAACTTACATCATAGATTCACTTCCCCTGTCTTCAACTTCTGAGCCTGAGGATGACCCGAATGTTGCACTAGTGTTTGATAACATTCTTAACATTGACGGTTTCTTTGGTGATGCTACTTCAAGGTCACAGGGCAAGGTCAAACAGTTAAGATCAAAGGTTATCTTGAGGTCACTAAGCTCAACCTCAGAAAACTTTTCCAGTATTGTTGAAAGTTCTCCTACAAAAGAAATGATGATTTCATGCAAGTCCTATTAGCTTTTAATTAAATATCCTGACATATTTCTTTCATTTTAGGTATTCTGTAATCATTTTAATGTCAACATTAACAATACTTTTTACTATCCAGACAGTATATATACAGCTTTAACAGCATAATTAATCAGTCAAATGGAATATACACATACTGGTCGGGACCACCAAAACAGGACAACCATCAAACCTGGATGGCCCAAAATATGCCTGATTTAGTTTTTTTCTTTTTTCAGTGGTTGTCAATAAGTCAGTCGCCTTTTTATCAACAATAAATGCGTGTTTCTTCTATAATTAAATGATTAAATTTATTTCAACTTACGTAAATGGTTATATTTTAAAATCTATTTCAAGAATGTTGACTTCGAAATTTGGATATCAAGAGTGCAATACCTGACCTCTTATACTAGCTATAATTATTTGCAGAGTAAACAACAAAATTTCCAAAACTTCAGCATTTGCTGCTGAAATAATATATATCATGTTAAAAATAAAAAATTAAAACACTCCAGCTTTTATCTGGATTAAATCAACCTCATGTTATATCTGTCCGAACACATGGTGTGGACAATTTAGGTAATTTTATACCCACCTTAGGGCTGGGGCGAGTATCCGATACTCGGATAATCACAAATCAAAATGAAAAATCAAGGAGGAATATATGTCAGTCCAGAGATAGTGGATCACGATCTTAATTGTTTATATACATTCATTGTTTCTCACACTCTTAAGGTCGAAATAAAATTACAATTTGAGTATGAATTATGCCATGTTTATTTAAATACAATTCAGCAAAATTTACTTCCAATGTTTGGAAATATATTAGTATTTCAATTGAAAATCAGAAAAACAATTATGTTTTTTAAATTTTTAGAACTAATGTTCATGTTTTTATGGGTGTCTTGATAACAAATAATTCGTGGCTCAATTTGTGAATTGGAAGTGCTGAATCGTGGATCGGATCGTCACTTATCAGACGATTCACACCTCTAACCCTCCTCAACAGGACTCAAATTGAGTGTCAACATAATCAGAAATAAACAAACTAGATCGTTAGTTAAGAGAAGAACCTAGCTTTACTGTGTCAAAATTTTAGATCTCTAGCTTTAAAATTAAGAAATTTGCACGAGAAAATGTTCAAAAAGTGTCCGGTTGATAGTCCCCAACCAGTATACATAACTGAATAAACAACATACCAATACAAACAGCAATGTTACGCAGTGACAAACTGTACTGTTGCAGACGACTTTTCACTGTACATGTAAAGTTTATAAACAATGGAGACTGGTCACTCCGATCATCCTGGGTAATGTCAAGGTCAAGGATGGCATCATCTTCCATAGACTCCTCGGAATCTAGGACAGAGGTGTTAGAGATCCTGTCACTCCTCATGGCCAGGCTGAGTCTGTCCATTGCCATGTTACCATCAGATTCTGGCATTGTGCCAACAGCTGCTCCTACACACACAAGAACATTACAGATGTGTCAAAAGGTATTCAAAATATTTGAGATCATATTTTTTTTTTTCAGATTCTTACTTACATGTGTTTAGATTTATACATGTGAAACCAAACACAGAATTCAAATGAACTACATGTAAATGTACTTTATTTAAATTTATCTACTTAAACATGAAACATTTTGATTATTGCAATCCTTGTACTTGAAAGAAAAACAATAAGAAGTACAAACATGCTCATTTAGAAAAGCCCTTTGAAAAGTAAAGTGGACATGTACATAGTGTGTATCCGATAATGCATGATAGATATGCACAATTGGTGTGTTACTTTTGCACAATGCCTGCATTATTTTAACCTTTCTGCATTATGAAGTATACACTCAACAAGTTCAGCAATGAATAAAACAATGTTACCATGAACAGCTTCTGACGTAGTTGTCTCCCTTTCATCTGACAATTCTCCTTCACTCTGAAATAATGACACATATACATGTACATATAATGTCTCAATAACATTGTAAAACAAGCGTTATAGTGGATAAGGCGTGGTATTGATATACATGAAATTTTTTTTATAATTGACGAAAAATACGATTTTTTTTTTGGGAGCCAAGGCATATGAGCGTTCTACTGAGATTAGCGCTATATCGGATAGCGCTATATCGCGGCTGCAGTGTATGTAGTTTCTTTCCTCAAGCCATGCCTGTGACTAGTGATTTAAAATTATTGTTCTCATTTATCTTGTTTCCCAGATGATTAACCACAAATATGATTTACCCAAATGTGTAGATAGCAACAGAAAATTAGCATCCTTATGAATTAAAGATGAATTACAAAATTTACTTGGCTAAATATATATGTAGCTTTATAGAGAACATACACAAAGATCTGATTTGTTTTATAGTTCTGATTTAGAAGGAGTTTTAGAATAATTATACAACTGAGTTTACAACTAGGTCATTGTACAACTATCCCAGTTATCTCAGCAAGGAGAGCATTATGGGAAAGCATTCAAGCAAGCATGCCTTATGTTCTCCTACAGCCGAATGAAATTGTCAGAAAAGTTGCCAGATTCTTATATAAAAACAACAAATACAGAATGCAAAATGCAGATAAATATATGTTTGTCTAAAGATCTTCAGTATCTAATACTGTGAGTAAAGTAATTTAACAAATTATAGCAAAAACATAAAAGATTTTTAAATTTCTTCAGAGGTGTCAGTACCTATAGTGTCATGGAGCAGAAATGAATATATATTTTTACAACAGATATACATGTAGGTCATTACAAACCTGAGCAGCTTCTGGACAATAGAAATAGTAGTCACGACTAGATGGAACCTGTCGGAACCATTTCTGTACAGTATCAAGGAATTTGTCCTTGATCAGCTGGTGAAGGTCTTTTAATGGCTCACAAGGTAGCTCTAGGTGAAGTAATGATAAATCTAATGTCAATGTCACTTTAGGTAACTCAAGTACTGATGGTATTTTCATTTGATCACTTTGTGCATCTCTGTAAAAATAAATATCTATTTCATTATCACAATTTTAAGGCAATATAATGCAAGACTGAATCAGTGAAATGCAATGCCACAGCAATAGTATACATGTAATGACCAACTATATGTATAACCCTAGGGCTATAGTTTAAAAACCTTGGTATATATCCACAAAGACAATATTTCATGTAAAACAAGAGCTGTCGGTAGGACAGCAACGCTCGACTATTCTTAGTGCTTGATAGTAAAAAAAATGCTTGATACAGTTACCTCCTCCTGTTTACAGGTTGGGGTCATGATGGTGAACAAGTGTGCAAAGTTTCAAAGCCATATGTCTATGGACTTTGAAAATATTTGAACTATTACAAAAACTTTAACGTAAATTCTAAGTCGAAAAAGGGGCATAATTCTGTCAAAATGCTTGATAGAGTTACCTTCTCCTGTCTACAGGTTGGGGTCATGATGGTGAACAAGTGTGCAAAGTTTCAAAGCCATATGTCTATGGACTTTGAAAATATTTGAACTATTACAAAAACTTTAACGTAAATTCTAAGTCAAAAAAGGGGCATAATTCTGTCAAAATGCTTGATAGAGTTACCTTCTCCTGTCTACAGGTTGGGGTCATGATGGTGAACAAGTGTGCAAAGTTTCAAAGCCATATGTCTATGGACTTTGAAAATATTTGAACTATTACAAAAACTTTAAAGTAAATTCTAAGTCGAAAAAGGGGCATAATTCTGTCAAAATGCTTGATAGAGTTACCTCCTCCTGTCTACAGGTTGGGGTCATGATGGTGAACAAGTGTGCAAAGTTTCAAAGCCATATGTCAATGGACTTTGAAAATATTTGAACTATTACAAAAACTTTAACGTAAATTCTAAGTCGAAAAAAGGGCATAATTCTGTCAAAATGCTTGATACAGTTACCTCCTCCTGTCTACAGGTTGGGGTCATGATGGTGAACAAGTGTGCAAAGTTTCAAAGCCATATGTCAATGGACTTTGAAAATATTTGAACTATTACAAAAACTTTAACGTAAATTCTAAGTCGAAAAAAGGGCATAATTCTGTCAAAATGCTTGATAGAGTTACCTCCTCCTGTCTACAGGTTGGGGTCATGATGGTGAACAAGTGTGCAAAGTTTCAAAGCCATATGTCAATGGACTTTGAAAATATTTGAACTATTACAAAAACTTTAACGTAAATTCTAACTCGAAAAAGGGGCATAATTCTGTCAAAATGCTTGATAGAGTTACCTTCACCTGTCTACAGGTTGGGGTCATGATGGTGAACAAGTGTGCAAAGTTTCAAAGCCATATGTCAATGGACTTTGAAAATATTTGAACTATTACAAAAACTTTAACATAAGTGGTTACGCGGACGCCGACGCGGACGCCGACGCTCGGGTGACTGCAATAGCTCTACTTATTCTTATCAAATAGTCGAGCTAAAAACTATGCTCTTGCCTTTGCAGTTTCAGATGATGATTTTTTTAAGTATAATTGGAAAACATATGACCTCTGGCATGGGCAAGTGACAACTATTTATCCAAGATGATTTTAGGGGTGAGAGACAAATGACCGTAAGACACAATGTCCAAGATCCATTGTCACCAAAATATTACCTCTCGGCCAAGGATCAAACCAAGAATAAAGAACAACCACACACAAGCTAAAAGCAAGTTGTGTTGACCAAATATAAAATGGTATTTACAAATGTTCATGTATACTCATTCCATTATACTCATTAGAACAGTACATAGTAATACTGCAACTTGCACCTAAACATGCCATTATGTTACTTCAAGACAGATTCATCAGAGATCAATTCAAATCATCCATTACAGATAAATAAAGATAGTGTGCTAAAGATACATCTAATAAAATATTCCTCAAAATAAAACTTTTTATGTGATATAACAGTTCCAAGTTAAGAATTATCTTAAAATAAATATAAAAGTTACATGATGATAATGTCAATTTGTAAGAGTACCAACCCATCAGTATCATCAAGTATATCCATAAACCTGACAGAGTGAGGTTTAACATCATCTATCACTGCAGAACTTTGATCATTAAGTCTCTCCTGATCTTTTCGGGCCTCGTTTACGAGGTGCTGGAAGTGACAACATGATGCATGTAGAAATGTTGTCATGTTACTCTCTAAGGGCAGGGCCTCTTCACAGATATTATTTATGGCTGCATCAACATCTTGGCTGTCAATGGTAAAACTTTTCTGCAAGCTTTGAAACACACCTAGAAATAAAAACAGAATCACTTTATAAAAAAAAAATAATTCAATCAGGCCAGTCAGTGAGTTGCAATTTTTAAAGAAACAGAATTATAAACAAGTGCCACAGCAAGCAGGACCTTGTACTGCCTTTTCTTACTTCCAAAATGGAACACATTTGAGAAGCAGCATTTGGCAGTCAATTTCATTTAAAGGTCATACTTAAAGTATAAATCAACATGCTGGTGTTGCTTAATCAAAGTATGAACAAAATTTTATCCCATAATTTTATGACCAATTCTATGAAAATGTTAATTTTGACTTCAAGGGTCAAGATTATTTAAAAGTCAAAGGAATACTTGCATTATTGAACATGACAGTTTTGTCATAAATGCTGTTTTGTTCAAGTATGAAAAAGTATATAATAATGGAAAAAGAGGCAAAGAACATCATAATTTTATTGGGAAAAGGAGAAAAAATATGTTGAAAATTAAACAATGGGAGAAAAGAATATTAGATGAACTCAGATAATCACACACCTTTAACATAGCAGTTATAGAATGTTTCTGACAATGATGAACACTGCTGCCACAGGTTTTCCCCTCCGTCACATGATCCCTCTGTTGACCTTCTCTCCTGTGACCTCCATGATAACCTCCAAGCTGGTTCAAGGTCATCCTTTTGTAAAACATTGAAACACAGTTAAAAAAATATATCTCAATCAACTTACTTTACTATTGAATAGAAGATTTTCACAATTCTGAAAATAGATGCCTTATGAAGTTACTAAAAATTTAAGAAGCAAATCCAAACAGGTTCATTTTAATTTAGAACCACAAAAATATTTACACTCCTAAACAAAACAGCATTTCTGCATTGAAAGCAAGTTATTCAAGAATTCCATGCATGTAAACAGTTGACATACTTACTTTAAAACTTTCTACACTAAATGACACTCTTTTCAGAGATCTTGGGCTAGACAACCCACTTTGCTCATTCTGCTCACTGACTGGGTCAAAGGTCATATCCTGGTAAATGTCAGCAGGGGCCTGATAGTCCCAGGGATTAATAAGGGACTGTAACACATTGTGAACTATACAGTCATATATATAAACTGGAACAATGAGGGTCTTTTTGTTATTTATCTCATCAACTTTTGGATCAATAATCTCTTCTGGTTGAGTATTAACTGTTTCACTTTTTTTCATCTTTGTGACCTGCATCTACACTACTGTCTATTGCACTTGAATCTTTTGGTATTTGAGCATTTTCTTCCGTTTTACTACCTAGTTCATCACTGCCCCTCTCCAACTTTATCCAAAGGTTTACAATTTTTATCACCCTTTTTTATCAGTTTGCTGGTTTGGTCACTAACTGGTTCAGTCTTGAAATCGCCCTCTGCAGAATCTGAATCTTTATTTGATTCATTTAGAAGTATTACATCCTTAAAGGAAGCAGGAATAAAAGTTAGTGTAAGAGAGCTAGCATCACCACCTTTAATGAAGCATTTCCATTCTGGAACTTTATCAGGCTTGGAAACACCTGCACTATCTTTTTTGGCTCCTTGGGAAACAGAGTTGGCTTGTGAATGACTGACATTTGATTTTGAATTTGTTGTCTGAGACTTTGATTGGTTGGATTTGTCAGATTTATTTTCTTTAGCCAATGAGATCAGTTTTTCAATTTTAAAAGGGAATGGGTAGGTTTCAGTTGATCTATCTCTTGAGAGTATATGTTGTAAGAGGTGACAGCTTTGTCCTTGTGAAAGATGAACCTGTCTGTGATAACTGCCAGATAACTCTTCAATAAGGAGGTTATATAACAGATCATTAGCCTCCCTGCCAAACTCTCCACTTCCTGTTTTGCTTCCTAAAACAAAACAATGATGCAAACTATAAGCGAAATAATAAAAGTACAATTTTGTAAAATGATACTTTGTCTGATTTAATATATCAATATATACTTATATGTAAAGTTCAGATTTTCTGCTTACAATCATATTTGTTTTGAAAATAAAAAGTAGCTAATATCCTCAAAATTATTACCTTGATCTTAATCATTTCAGAATTAACTAGAACTGTGTCCAAAGGACACGGATGCCCCCACTGACAACATATATATGGTATATAGTGAAAAAATCAACAAAGGGTCATAATTCTGTTAAATTTGGTCGCAGCAAAAATTCCTTCCTTTACTACCATCTACACATTAAGGTTGTTCATCCCTGGAAGTTTAAGCAAAAACTGCCATCCGGTTTAAGAGGAGTTGCGTTCACAAAATTTCTACATAGTATATAGTGAAAAAATCAACAAAGGGCCATAATTCTCTTAAAATTTGGTCGCAGCGAAAATTCCTTCCTTTACTATCATCTACACATTAAGGTTGTTCATCCCTGGAAGTTTAAGCAAAATCTGCCATCCGGTTTAAGAGGAGTTGCGTTTACAAAATTTCTATATGGTATATAGTGAAAAAATCAACAAAGGGCCATAATTCTGTTAAATTTGGTTGCAGCAAAAATTCCTTCCTTTACTACCATCTACACATTAAGGTTGTTAATCCCTGGAAGTTTAAGCAAAATCTGCCATCCGGTTTAAGAGGAGTTACGTTCACAAGATTTCAGGGACGGACGGACAGACGTACAGACGGACACTCGGACAGACTAGTGCAACGCTATATGCCCCCCACTTTGAGGGGGCATAAAAAGAAATTGCATTACCAACAAACTTTCACAAAATACCATCAGGCCTCGACATTAGCGGTGGTCCGTTGGTCGGAGACCACCTGATTTTGGCAAGGACCACCTAATTTTAAAAGCCACTGGTCCGTCGGACCACTTGAATGTTCGGGTTCGTGCAAGGCTCTTTTTGGAGAATGGTGATTTGTGTCAAGAACATGTTATATACATTTTGTTAAAATCATTTGTCCGATGAACATGTATATGGTTCATCAATCTCTGATTAGTTAAAGTTCCTTAAGTCATCTATAACTTTCATTTTAAGTCGATAAAATTTTGTTTATGCACGTTAAATTAGTGTTATGATTTAGGTACAAAATTCATTCAAATGATGCAAGAAATTATGCATCGTTGGATTAATTATGATACTAATCATGTATAGGATATCGGATAAAATTAAATTTCAGATATTTGAATAATGTCAGCAAATGAAAAGAACTGGACAAATACTAATCTAACAAGAGCCATGTCAACATGGCCATCCCCCGCCGAATGTGTTTGCTCATTGGAAAAATGTATATGTAGTAGAGCAGAATAATTCCATTTTAAGAGGTCTTTTGATAATGAAAACTGATGGCTATAGTGATTACAGATTTGAAACCTATGTGAATACTGATGGCTGAAAATAACAAAGGGCAATAACTGAAAAATAATGCAGGGTAGGTTATCATTCTTGTGTGCTGCATCCCTCCTCAGTAAAATCTATCCTCCTATGAAATTTCAAGTTGATACCTCAAATACTTTTTGAGACAAGAGGGCCATGATGGCCCTGAGGTCGCTCACCTGTATATAGGCCCCCCCCCAACCCCCCCCCCCCAACGTTGCAGGGCCAATTTAACCCAAGGGCTTTTATTTGAACAAACTTGGTAGACACTCACTAGAAGATGTTTCATGCCAAATATCTAAGATCTAGCTCTTATGGTTTTTTAAAAGAAGATATTTAAAGTTTTTTCTTTCGGTTGCCATGAGTTCTGCATGGAATTAAATTCTTTGAACAATTTTTAAAGGTGACCACCAAAGGAACATTCCTGTGAAGTTTGGATGAAATTGGCTTAGTGGTTTATGAGGAGATGTCATTTAAAGTAAAAGTTTACGGACGGACGACGGACGGACGGACGCCGGACGAAAAGCGATCACAAAAGCTCACCCTGTCACTTTGTGACAGGTGAGCTAAAAAAAATTGAATTGAAAAATTAAGTATGAAAAATAACAAAGGGCAATAACTCAAAAATTATAAAAGGTAGAGTTATCATTCTTGTGCACTGCACACCTCCTGAATTAGATCTATGCACCTATGAAGTTTCATAATGTTATCTCAAAGGCCTTTTGAGTTATGCTCTGGACAAAAATTAATTTTGAAAAATAACAAAGGGCAATAACTCAAAAATTATGCAGGGTAGAGTTATCATTCTTGTGCACTGCACTCCTCCTCAATGAGATCCATCCACCTATGAAGTTTCCAGTTGATACCTCAAATACTTTTTGAGATAAGCCCTGGACAAAATAGCATGAAAAAGAACAAAGGGCAATAACTCAAAAATTGTATAGGGAAGAGTTATCATTCTTGCGCACAACATTTCTCCTCAATAAGATCTATCCACCTATGACATTTCATGTTGATATCTCAAACACTTTTTGAGTTATGCCTCACTCAGGTGAAAAATTAAGTAAGAAAAATAACAAAGGGCAATAACTCAAAAATTATGAAAGGTAGAGTTATCATTCTTGTGCACTGCACACCTCCTGAGTGAGATCTATGCACCTATGAAGTTTCATGTTGATATCTCATAGGCTTTTGGAGTTATGCTCTGGACAAAAATCAATTTTGAAAAATAACAAAGGGCAGTAACTCAAAAATTATGCAAGGTAGAGTTATCATTCTTGTGCACTGCACTCCTCCTCAATGAGGTCTATCCACCTATGAAGTTTCAAGTTGATAACTCAAATACTTTGAGAGATATGCTGCGGACAAAAATGTCGGACGGACGGACGGAAGGACGGAAGGTCGGACGGACGGACGGAGACTATTTCTATATCCCCCGCCGAAAAGTTTTCGGCGGGAGATAATAATTATTTGCTACTTATCTTTATTTTTAACTGTTTAACGATAAGAGATCTATTTTTTCCAGAGTTAAAATTACTTTAAAAGTTTAGAAATATTCAATGTCAAAAAAATATATGTCAACGAGATAAAAATTCTGAATTCTTAATAAATCAGTGAGAAAGTAAGCTAAACTATAGTTATATAATATGAAATTAGGCAAAGCCTATGAACGGGGAAGTCGTTAAAAAATCCTTTCATTCTTTCCGTTGTAAAGGTGTCATTCGGTATTACATGCACCGCTTCCGTTTTCACTCGGAACACTCGACGATTATTATTAATCCGAAAAGTTGAGATTTGTTCCGTTATCGGAATACCCCGCCTATTATCATTGAGTTACATTGTAAATGGCGACGCCCGACTAGAACTGACACTGAAAATTTCTTTGATAGGTATAGAATTCTATATATTTTTTAATTGTTTTTTATTTGATTTTCTTTTTAATATACACGTGTAGTCTATAGCCGGGCAAGCCAAAGCCCGGACCCGCTTCGCGGGCCCGGTCTTTGACTTCCCCGTATTACATTGTTATTATTTTTTATCCTTTAGATATTTCGATATTTCCTTGTCTTCAAAGACAAGAATAAGGTTATTTATCAGTTTTCTTAAAATGTTAATCTATAGAAGATACAAGTAATTATCATGATAATAAGACGCACCGCGTATCAGCAATGAATATCCGAATAATAGACAGAGTTGAGGGAGAAATCACTTCAATATAAAAATTTACACAAATAAAAGCATTGTTCTGTATTTTTGAATGAGATTAAAAAACCAAAATGTTCCAAATAACATTACGATAGAATACCTACTGACTTGCTCTCCTTAATTTCTGATTAGATTAATATATACAGTATGTCTGAAAACACCTGTTTTCTTTAAAGGTATCAATAAAAAATCTTTGTCATCAATTTTTTTAAGCATATTTTTTTTTCTAAATTTGCAGGAAATTATATAGTAATAATAATTGACCACCTTACTTCTGGAAGGACCACCTAAATTTCAAATCTAGTGGTCCGGCTTACCACTTTCTAAAAAAGTTAGTGTCGAGGCCTGACCATATTTCACCATTCATGTTAAGTTTACCATATGCTAGATTAATACAAAGAAAAACACGTCATTCTTGTCTGTTGTGGAATGTGCAGAATTATCTGTCAGAATTGGGCAAATTTACTAACTGGAATATCATGGAAGAGCAAGTTGGGTAGGACTACATCACAGAAAATACATTAGGCACTACTATTTCAAAGAAGGTGGACAATCAAATTAACTGGAAACGTAAGTTTGGCTTGTTTATTATCAATAAGGGTGAGTTGGGTCAGTTTACTTACCATAAGTGTATGTTGGGTATAACAGTTCAGCTTGTTGACTTCTGGGTAACAATGAGAGAAGATCAAATGGGAAGTCTATATGTTTGACAGTAGGTGACAACTGTGATATATTTGATCCAGGATGAACACTG